ACATACAACAGCGGGGATTCGCTGGTCGTCACCGACCCAACTACTAATCCGCCCCTTACCAGCTTGACTATGGGAGAGCGGACGGGATCCCGTATTTTCTGGTAGGTATGGTCGTATGTGATTGTCTTCTGGCTAATTTCATTATATATACTCACTGTTTGATCATGCTGAGAGGCTTCCCATTCGCAGTATGTGGGCGGCGGTGATATATTGTGCTTGCAAAAGCAGGCAATGGCGAGCTTGATACTGACAGATGCTAAATGCTGTTAGTTTTCAATGTCCTCAGGGCCTAAAGCCTTCTCGATATCCGCAAGAATATCATCCCTCCCATCCCAATCCTTCTTCTCCAACCCCTTTTGAATCTTATCCAATATTATGCCGCCTGCATAGGTTTTACCCCATGCCTCTTTATCCTCTTCGCTCATAGCGTCCAAAAAGCCCTGGAGCTCCTGCGCGACAGGATCCGGCCCTGATGGCTCTTTCTCCTTCCCTTGTGGCGACTGTGTATATTTGTATCGTCTCCACCAAGTCTGAAGTCTGTCCAAGTAATCTGCGCCCTTACGGCCGGCATAATATCCAGCAAGGGACCCGGCAGTTTGGCTATAGTGGATGAGATACGTCGTGTCTGCACCGGTGAACCTGGTCCATTTATCTTCGGCCTGTGCCAGCATGCCCAATGTTTTTGGGTATTTATCTTCGAGATCTGTGAGAAGTTTGTCGCTTTGTCGACGGAGTCGATCATATTCGGAGTATTTCCCCTTCTTCATCCAATACGTCGAATTGCTTGCTGTGATTGATCGCATTTGCTCGAAGCGTGTGGGAAACCTCCCAGGGATAACCGATTCGTTGAGAGGAAGATCGAAGATTCGCACGTGCACAGGATCAAGGATGGGCGTGCGTGACTGTTCTTGGGTCGGTTTCTGCTCGAGCGGCTCGTTGGTAAGATGAATCAGCGCTGGCCCATCGACTCTCCATAACGAGCAGAGGTAACTTTGTGGACATGTGATGTAGTTGAAGTTCCATCTCTCCTCGTCCTCATACATATCTCTATGTTGCAACAACTCGAGAAAGGCCTTATCCCAGGGGTCCTCATTCCAGGGTTCGCTCAATGGCGCCTCATTTGCCGAGAGGTAGATCCAATGATGCCATCCTGATGAATACCAAGACCTCTCTCGATATAGAGCATTGAGATATGCAACAACTAGAACGTTGGTCCCTTTCCAATCTTGGTGCCTCCTGCTTCCGACATCTTGAGTCCAGGTGAGAGGATTATACAGCCTCGGGATGTGATATGGAGCTCGCATGCTATGAAGATAGTTCTCGCCATATGGCTCTTTGAACCATTCAAGTGTCTCGAAGGTGATCATATTCTCCGCGAACAAGCGCGGCTGCTCCGCCTGGTATTCATGAAACCATTTACCAAGAACGAATCCTCTGATGAAATTGATGAAGATAGTAAACCCTGAGAAGGGTAAAGTAAGCAGGAAAACATATCCGAAGGCTCGCAATAGGCTCTTGAAAAATTGCCAGCTGTACCGGATGTAGTACGAAACTATTGGCGGCAATCTCATCTTCAACGAGTTGTTTACAAGAAGAAAGGAGGAGATGCGTAGAAGAAGATCAATTCAACTGGACGTCTAGTTCATCCATCTTAAGTAAACAGTCTGCTGAGCTCAGTTGCTCGATCCAAGGCTGAACTCCACATGAAATGTCTGCCTAGAAGTTCGGCCAGACTTCCGAATAATGGAGTCCAAGTTGTCGCTTTGGGTTTGTTTAGCGATAGCATCATTTCAAAAGATCCACTTTGTAATTGTTGGTTGTATCCTATGTTGCGGCGTGACTAATGCCAAGGGACTGTCGGGCGATTGAACCAACGGTAGAAAGTTGAGCGAATGGTATGACGATAAATTCATACCGATAATTTCGAGTCAGGTCAGAGAAATTGGATGTTGGTTCAATTGGGTTTTCTAGCGGATTGAGAGATTGATCCACTGTGCCTCCACATCTCGGTGCTATCAGAATGGATCATTGGAGGACCGCGGGCCTGGAAATGCAACGCTTTTAGGGGACCAATGTTTTGCATGGACTTGACGAGAACCCGAGAACAAATAAACACAGAACAACACCATACAATCGTTTTCAAGTCCCTTCGTTGAACCCAACTTATACCGAGCAATTGCAGGGTAGGGGTTCTCTCTTTGCTACGTTATTAACAGCTAATCTCTTGCTGTCCACATCATATATGACAGTGCTAAGATAAGACGAGATAACCTTTCAAATGAGTTCCCAATTGCGACGTGCTACTCCGGTACAACCAGCTGACAGCTTGTGGAACTTCCATGGATATTTGCTATGTATTCTGTGTTTACGAACTCTTTGCCCAGAAGCGCCTTTGTGTCAATGCGTTTAGTACCATCCGAGGCCACCTGCTGGTAAATTGGAAGCCATTTGTTCTCCCTCGGCATGACTTTCGAAGTATACACTACATCTTTAAGTATTGTATCTTCTGCAGTGATCAAGTAGTAAATACACTAGTCCTTTTCTATGTCCTATTTTAGTTACCAGCAATTCAACTCGAATCCTTCATTTTTACTCTTCCCATTTTCATCCTGACTCTTGCATCATTCATTCTGAATTCTTATCTCTTTGTCCCAACATGTCTCAGAACGATGTCCTGAAGCGTACCTCGACGTACAATCTCCGGTCCCTACATCGACAGCTACTGCACTCTTCATCTTTGTGTCATGATGACTCCGAGCCAGCACCAGAGCTCGAGGGACACATATCAACGGTTGATGGGCTCGGTCCTCAATCTCACATCGATCTTGTTCCGTGCTTGCCGCAATCCAAAGTGGTGTTGTCTAATGATCCGATGGCTGGTGAAGACAACGTCACGCTAGACTATAAGGTTGCGGATTTTCGGGATGCCTGGGACAGGTCCAAGAAATCTCATGAAAGTGAAATGTCAGTCAGAGATGAATCATTCGAACCCGAAGCTGTTCCAAGGACTGGTCTTGCCCCCAGAATCAACTTTGTCAGCGCCACGAGCCTGCTCAACACCCCAAACCTTATCAGTGCCGCCATTATTGTCTTTTTTTCCCTGTCTCCCTACATCGGCCATCCAGCATGGATTCTTCCCACATTCTCAACATCCACTGCGAATTTCACCCTCCCGCTCACCAAGGATATCTCTCACGTCCACACCACCTTCCGCGAGACCGTGGTCCCCTTCAGGTCGCGCTGGGAAATTGACGACCTTGTCAAGGTCACACCCTGGAGCTTTTTCCTCATGCTCGATATTGAGCTAGACGATGTGGAGACAGGTCTCAATGCGTGGGGACACGCTTCCATCCCGGGGCCCGATCCAAAGCTGCGCGACCAAATTCGCGGATTGAGGCGCAGTATTCCTGTCTTTCAACCTTCCGAGTCCGATCCGTGGACACCATTCGCCTGGGCGTGTGCTAGGGTTGTGGAATACACTGTTCGTGACTCGGCCGCGCGTATATTTAATGCTCCTACGCCGGCCAAGAAGATCGACATGATTTCTACCTACTGGTACCGAATGAGTCGCTATAATCAGAACCTGATCGGAATAACGGAGGCTCTGGGGAGCTTTATACAAGGTTCACGACATACGGAGGAAGTGCTGGTACAAATTCGCCAACAGTTACTCGCACAACAAGACCACCCGAACTACACAATACATAAAGAGGATGAGTGGATGCCAGAACTTCTTGAGACAATCGACTACACGCTGCTTCACATAGTCCCTCAAGTAAAGCTCTTTGACGATATGAGACCGCCTGCTATAGTCAAGCTCAAGAAACTAAACCAGACTATTTCTCGGCAGCATGATATCTGGAGACAGCAAAAACCGATCGTTGAGAAGGGGATTGTATACGAGCCGAAGCCCTGGTTCCCATTGGTAATAGGTCGCTCGAAGGTGGAAGAAACCTGGAGCGGTGTTTCGCCTGACGAGTTGGAGTTGATGGATGACGAGGGTATACTTGGAATGGCCTCCCAACGTTCCACTTTGCAGGACGGAGATTATGAGGCTGATGAGTGGGAGAAGGGTAATTTTGCGAGGCCGCGTAAGCAATTTCATGTGCGCAACCGCCCTCGTGTGAAGAAGAGTTGGTCCGCTTGGTTCAGCTGGTTGGCATAAGCTGAGGTTGTTCTCGGATGAAGTCTCGGGTTGAGGTTACCAGTTCGATATATATTATCATAACACTCAAATCTAGTTGTCTCTGCTACGACGCTCCTTGCGTACTTCGATGCATCCTGTTTCGAGTAAAAGTCAAAAGTGCATTACCTACTGGCAAAGAGCTAGCCAAGCTAGATGCGATTTTTATCTGACACAGCAAAAGACAGGAAGAAGTTAATACAGGGTCTTTTGCCACAAGGCGAGGTAAACAAAACAGTATGCCGATGAGAATAATAGCCAGTGCTACCGCTAAGCAGGGATACATGCACATTTGATCGACTGCGATCTTTCCCTATCATACTCACTAGGGCAGAGTTAAAGGTCAAGGGTAAGTATCTTGGTTGTCCAGCCCGGCCATGATATAGCCATTCAAAGGTCTGTAACGCGCGAAACTGAAGTCATACAACCAGGTAGCGGATGCTAGGAGAAGCTTGCAAGCTGTCACTAACCCATGATCTTGCTCAGAATCCCAAAACCCACTCTTACTGGCAGACCCGAAAGACCAAATTCAAACGTAAGTTAGGCTTGGTCTGCTTAGACAAATCCTGTCAAGTCAAGTCAGGGCCAAGTCCGATTCAGTCCCAATACCATGTGCCTCAATCATTCAAATAAGGCGGCTTTACTTGACTCGTTGAAAGCTTTACTTGTAACGTAATACAAGAGCATTTGCGAATAGGCCCGGAACATGGCATAAACACAGTCCTCTACTTAACAAGATGAACCCTAGAATAATTCCCGGATCGAGATGAGCAGGCTTTCTGTCGCCGTAAACTTCATTTATAGATTGGTGATCGGAAGCATTCTGACTATTTATCGTGAAAGTAGACTCCGAAAGAGATTTGGCCAAGTAGCCAGAATTGTCAAGCCTGTAGTAGTAGACCATAGGCTGTTGAGATGATACCCCCACGGAAGGATCGCCAGAGCGTCGAAGACGCAAGCTAACATGGCTGCGCATGGATGAGTTAGGACCAGGTTTGGGATCCATTGATTACCGGCTCGGCAGCCGCCTTGGCATTCTAGGTGCAGAAATTCAACTCCAAAAAGGGCCATAGCAGGTATGATTCAACGAGCAAATGAGCCTGACGAGACGCTCAAGTAAAACTCGAGATGATGATTTGCCTAGTTAGTCCTTGCCCCTATCAAGCGTTTGATGATACCTTTTGCAAGGTTGCTGACGAACAACTTAACAATAAACAAAAGTTCCCAAGATTATCCATTTTTGAAAGATCACGTGGTTGGTATCCGGGTAGGACGGCAGGAATCGCCCCAGATAAGAGCAAAGGTAACCTATGACCAGATTGCGATGTGGTATCGGCAACATTAAGCTTGAATCCATTGTCGGCGCTTCTCGGCGACTGTCAAAGGTTCCAGACCCCAAGATTGGTTGCATTTGACGTGCGTTGCAAAAGGTCGCCGCTATCTTGGTTGTTGGTCGTCCCCGGACAAGGAGACCCCATTGTTTTGGATGGCAAAGTCCGTATCTATTCCCGGAGTGATATCTTCAATGCCCGCACATTGGACACAGCCAGTGGTCACTGATTGTTTCGAATCTTGTGGAGGAGCTTTCAGTTCATCAGGTCAAATTGTATCAAGAGTCCCCAAAGCATAGTCTCTTCCACTAGCGATGTCACACTTAAACCTTATCAATTGAGTGCTGACAGGCTTATCCCATCCTTCTGGAACAAGAACAACTGGCCCTGCGGAGTATTGCGATATATGTTGGCTTAGCTTAGCAACCAACGCTATAAGAAAAGGCTTCTGGATCATGAGATGCGACCCAATGAGGCTTTTATGATTATCGCTAAGGGACCTTTTGTTGCGGGACCCTGGTAAATCGGCATGTCGCAATCAAGCACAGTCCAACAGCAATTGATCATTTAACCAATTAAAGCTCTCCTGTAACAGTTGGATCCCTTACACAAGTTCCCATCGTGACGGAAAAGGCATATATTTGTTAGTGCGGCTCTCCCAGGAAGGAAGTGGATGGACACACTAAACGCGGCAAAGTCACCCCAGCTTTGGGGAGCTGCAACACAACGTGGCCGGGGTGCAATAGGCAACTAAGACTGAAAAGGCAGGCTACCGAGGTTTCAATATCGTGTCGGATCTTGGTATAGCAAGCTAATGGTCGGATATGAGGAACGGAAGGCAAAATGCCAAGGACTACCTGGCAAAAGAACCGCTTGGGACTGGGGAATTTGTGGAAAGGCCGCCGTGTCTTATCGCTCGGTTCTATGATATGCGATCTAGACTCGATAGATGTTACATTGTTTCATTATCAAGGACAATGGTGTCACCTACCATCAAACCCACTCTGATTCAGATATATTCTGGGGTGGTCGCATTGCTCGATGGAACTGTGAAAGGTGCTTGAACCATAGACTCCAGTAAGTCCGGTGTCGACTCTACCATTCTTATCCATTCTGGGAATCGACGTACTGGATTATGCCGTCCAACGAGATTGAGGCCAAGGGGCCTCGTGGCCCTGATGGTACCGAGGCCTCGGTATCACCAGTCCACAGCGCCGACGAGAAGAGCGTCGACATTTCCAAGAAAGCGGCGTTGGACTCCGAAATCCTCCCAGTTGAGCGCAACGACGACAGCGACAGCGACAGCAAAGATGCGATCATCGTTACTGGTGCCGATGCCTCGCGCCACTTGCTTCCCATGCGAGACGACCATGACAGCGCTTTGACATTCCGAAGTCTTCTACTCTCCTCTGGTCTTGCCTGCTTCCAAGCTGTGATGTACCAGATTTATACAGTAAGTCATGATGGTTTAGCTATCGTAAGCATCATCTAATATCAGCTAGTTCAAACCCACCATGATCACCATTCAGGGAACATTCATCGTCCTCATCTCATACTTCATCGGAAACGCTTGGGCCTTCGCCCTTCCTCGCGGTGACAAATTCGAAGCCCGGTGGAGAGCCGGCGGTAACACTGGCTCGTTACCGTTCTGGCTCAAGGTCATCAAGTTCATCAACCCTGGTCCATGGGGTCTCAAAGAGCATGCCATCTGCGCCATCACAGCCACTTCCGCTTCAAACGCTGCAGAGAGTGTCCAAGTATTTGCCGCTCAGGATCTCTTCTACAACATGCCGTTGAGTCCTACCACTGTCATCCTGAGTACCATTTCTATTGGTCTTTTCGGTTATGGTTTGTGTGGTGTCATGCGTCCTGTGGCAGTTTGGCACGTCGACGCGGTGTTCTGGAGTAACTTGCCTACCGTCAAGACACTCCAGGGTCTGCATTGGCAAGAAGTTAAGGACTCGAAGCCCCTTCGATATTTCTGGTACAGCTTTACTGGAATGTCGTTGTATGAGTTCTTTCCTGCTTATATCTTCCCTTGGCTTAACTCCGTTTCCATCCCGGTATGTTACCTTCGCCATAGAATCTATATATACACTACTAACTGCATCAATAGTGTCTCGCCGCTATGAAAGCAACCGGCGAAAAAGCCAAACATCTCACCCTCATCTTTGGTGGAGCTACGAACAACGAAGGTCTTGGTCTCTTCACATTTTCTCTCGATTGGCAATATGTGAGTAATAAACTAAAAGGATGTCTGTAGCTATGCTGATATTCATAGATTACCTCATTCAACACATCTCTTCCTCTTCCTCTTCAGGCCCACATGGCCGCTGGATTCTTCGTCTGCTACATCGTCATGGTGGGCATCTACTACGGCAACGGATGGGGTGCCAAGTCCCTCCCTTTCATGTCCACTCGACTTCTCCTCGAGAACGGCACGACTTACCCGATTGCTGAGGTCTTTGAGGGTGGTGTACTTAACGAACAGCGTTTATTGAACATTGGTCTCCCCAGGTTGACCGGTACCTTCGCCTATGCCATGTTCATGGCCAACGCTGCGGTAAGTCCCAAGAGCTTCCATCTCCTTCACAGCGTGAGCTAACGATAGTCAGATCGGCGCTCTAATCCTCCACTGTATCCTCTTCTGGGGCAAGGACGTTGTCAAGGCATTCAGGAGTGCCAGGGAAGGTCGCTACGATGATCGTCACCACGAACACATGGCCAAAAACTATAAAGAGGCTCCCTGGTGGTGGTACATCACCATTCTGGTCGGCAGCTTCATTCTTGGTCTCATCGTCGTGATCAAGGAGAACATTACGCTCCCTGTTTGGGCCTACATCGTATCACTCGTTGTAGGCTCAGTCATCGCGCCTGTTGTAAGTCGACGCATTTAGTCGGATGTGGTTGATGCTAACTCACAGCTCAGAGCACTTTGCTCTACTCTAGGTACGGAAATGGAATTGCGACCAACAACCTGTCAAAGATGCTGGCTGGTCTCATGCTTCCGGGAAAGCCCGTGGGTAACATGTATTTCGCTGCATGGTCTCACAACGTCATTTCCAACGCTGTCAACCTGTCTGGTGATCTCAAGATGGGCGAATACCGTCAGTCCTCTATGCATCCCTTCGCTTTCAATGCTAACTCTTTGTGCAGTTAAAATTCCTCCACGAGTCATGTTCCTCACACAGATTTGGGGAACCATCCTTGGAGGTTTCATCAACTACGCTGTCATGATCAGTATTGTGGGCAGTAACCGAGAACTGCTCAAAGATGGAGATGGAAACTCTTCTTGGAGTGGCGCTACGATGCAGTCATACAACACTAACGCAACCTCATGGGCGCTGGCTGGTTACCTTTACAAGATTGGTGGTACTTATGAACTCGTACCCTTCGGTCTCCTCGTCGGTGCTAGTCTGGTCGTTATGCATCGCATTTTCTACAAGGTACAACTCTTGCACTTCAACTTCTATAAACCACATACTGACACATCCCAGTTTTTCCCCAAGATCAAGAACCTCGACGTTGCCGATATCAACTTCGCTCAATTCATCCAGTACGCTGGTTACATTCCTTACAACCAGAGTCAAACATGCGTCATCTTGAGTCAGTTGGGATCCGGCTTCTTCGTCCAGTACTACCTTCGAAACTACCGCCCGCGCATTTTCAGAGACTACTCATACCTGGTGACAGGTGCTTTTGACGGTGCAAGTCTCACTGTTCTTTTCATCCTTTCGTTTGCTGTTTTCGGTGCTGGTGGTCCTGGACATCCTTTCCCAACTTGGTGGGGAAATAACGCTGATGGCAATTATGATCTTTGCCCTGTTCCTGAATAAGTTTGGAGGCATTGAAGGAGTGTACATAGAAGATTTGCGATGCTTATGTAGGTATAATTCGTGACAATAAACCGGGGTACCTTGAGACCAGCCCTCACAGACGCTAAGCCATACGCAGTGAATCGCCAACTACTAAACTAATATTTTAAGTCTTCTCTTCCAAAGCATTTATTGTTGGGCCGAAGTAGGTGAAGAACCTCAGCTATATCATCTGCCCCAGTTTGATCTCCGACGACCCGGACATGCGGGAAGCATGTGAATCCAACACCGCGACTGGTCCAGAACCTTTACCTCAAGCTTTTGTCGCACTCTCCTCTTTTCTCAAGACACTGTATGTATTAATCGCCCCGTCGGTACCATTCTTAACCTTAACGAACCGTATAGATGCCGACAGCTCTTCTGTTAGAGGAAAACCTTCTTGCCAGGGAGCTTTCCAAGACTACCTAGATAATTAGCAGAAGTCGGTGTGCCCTTCCCTTGTTGAACATGGTTATGTATGTCGGCTTTTCTGTGAAAGTATGATGTTGACAAGGTTCTGACTTCGCTGATGTATCTCGGGGGTTTCTTGGCCCATGATTATTGGCATTGTCTCTGTAACTCTAATTGAGGTTTCGATAGTGGATGGAACTACTATGGCTAGGTAAGTATTAAAGACAAACCTGATAATTACTGGTGATAGTAATATAAAAGATGGTTCGGTATCGAATATTACCCTATACTGGTTTTAGTTATGATGCCGGGAGATTGTTATGGGTAGTTTGCTGGTGGCGACCAGGTGTCGGGGATGGTACCTTGAACAGTCTGTCTTATCGTATTTTCGCTCTTCAAACTGCTATACGATAATGGTACCAATATTTGGGTTCGTTGTTGGTCGCCGTATCCTAAACGAGGTCTTGGAGTTAAAGACGGCCAGGAGCTAAGAAGAAACGTTGCATCAATATAATTCTTCTCGATTAGCTATCCATAGAGAATTAAGGTTCTGCAAGTTATCTTACAAGCTTGTACAAGTGATACGTGAGATCGTTCTATCCGGCTTCCGCGTATAGCAATATGGACCGCATTGAGTTGCAAAATGGGCATCGGAGCCCAACGGTCCGCAGCAAATCAACAGAACCCTGTGGACGGAGGTGTTACCCAACAAGGAAACATTCGTCGAGGTGCGGATTCAACCTCTCAGCCCTAATTTCTAGGGGTAAAAGTGATTCCACATTTACCCTGAGGCACGCCAATTGAAGGTCCAGATCAACATGTTAGTGCTGACTGGCTTTCAAAGCTCCGAGGACCCTGGACTCTATTGGCCGTTGGAACAAGAACACCCTTGACTTGACATTGAAGCTTATTGAAGCTCTGTGGGAATTGAGTCAATTCGGTACATTACACATTGCCCAAAACGTACCTTGGCTCTTTGACCAGATCATCTCTCGACTCTTGCTTCCAGCCCCAACTGCCGAAGGTCCCCTTCGCGCTGTTGATGATAAGCACTAGTGCTTCAAGGTGGTCAAACAGCCAAACAAACGCTTGGGCAAGAGGACGAGACCCCTGCGCAATGATCTCTACTAATTTCGTCCTCATCGGCCTGTCCCCTGCGAACTTCTGTACAACCCCATGTATGTATACCCACCCCCAAGGCACACTCAACTTGGGGGCTGAGTCTTTTGCTTTGGACCTTTTTTTCCTCTCGCATTTGAACTGGCGTGGTCGTTTACTTGTTGTTTTGTCAGCGTTGTGTTCGCTTCTTCTCTGCATTACGTTGACAAAAGCGCTCCTTGATGGACGCGCCTGTTTGTTAACTGAGCAGGCTCATCCTCTTCTGCAATCGCCATGTCTCGCTCGACTGTCGCTTCAATACTGGGTCTCACCTGTCTGCTCATTGAGACGGTCGTGGGTTTGGCGGGCTGGTGGACTTGGTCGCCCGATACTCTGACTCCTCACTTCGCCTACCAAGATCCCGGATCTGGAAACATTCTTCACAGCTCCTGTACCAGCAATGGCTCGGCTGCCTTTTCGACAGACAAACCAAACAAATTCCCTGTCAAGGCCCAACCGAAGGCTGCGACGCCGCTTGCGATCACGGGCTGGTGGGATGATGATCTGAACACGCCTGTTGTAAGTCGCTCAGTTCAATCGCGATGCTGTGAGAGCAGCACTGACAGAACAGGCCTCAATCTTTTACCAAGGAACCGACGACTCGATCATCAATGCGTTTTTCACATGCGACAATACAACCGGTAGCTACAAGCTCAATCCCGACGGCAACGATGTTGTATCCGACTTGGCAGGCGTGCCATCTGTACACGACAAGACTGGCTTAGCTGTGACAGAGCTGGGCGACTCGGGCGGTTACCGTCTCTACTACCACGACGAAGACGGGCTGGTCAATTTGCTGGCGTACGACGACGATACCGATTGGCGATATGATGGACCGGTGTCGCTCAAAAATACTGGCGGTATGGCTATAGCTGCTCTGCAAACAAAGGGCACGAATGTCTCGGTCGCTTATCCATACGATACCAAGAACATCGCTGTTGCTCGCTTTAACAAGGAGAATAAGAACAAATGGACACTAGGTAGGAAGCACCCTTGAATCAGTGTGTCGCGATAGCTGACAATTGTTCCAGAGTCGTTCCCGACACCCTTCGATAGCCCTGCGCCGACGAATAAGACCGATCCTTCAGACATCCGACTCGATTCATCGGCAGGCAGTTCCCTTACACTGGCCTCCATTGACACCGCCGCTGTCAATCTCGGTCTTTCGTCCACTACGAAACAACAATTGTCGCTGTTCTACATCGGCAAAGATTCCGACCTGCACGTCATATCCCAGACAGACGGCGCTTGGGAAGAGGAGGAGAGCCCCGGGAAGAAACAGTGGCCGCACGCAGATGACGAGTCAGGACGAGTGGCCGTGGTATCTCCTCTCGATACAGATCAGGTCTGGGTGTACTATACAAGCGGCGAAAAGGTTCTGGAGCTGCATAAGAATGGAAAGGGAACGTGGGAAAATGCCAGGACTCCTGACTTGAAGAGCGCGACGAATGCGAAACCCGATTCGGGCGAATCTGATGGAAGCGGCGACTCAACAGACTCGGGTTCTAACGAAGAAGCAACAGATGATTCGCCCACGGGCATCACAACAGGCGCCAAAGCCGGAATTGGCGTTGGAGTAGGCGTCGGTGTATTAGCCATTGCTGCGGCTGGATTCTTCTTCCTTCGCAGACGACGTCAACAAGCTGCTTCGGAAGAGGGCAAGAATTCGGTAGGGGAACTGGCATCGAGGAACAGCTACCACGAGTTATCGACTGAAGTACACGAACCGCAAGAGATGCCTTCAAACCATGCACCGCAAAAGTACGAGTTGTTGGGCGACACAGGGCATAGAGCTACATAGTTGAGTACCTATAGCAATGCAATAAAGAATATTGACTTTTGGACGTTTATGAGAGTTTGCGCTTGTTGATTGACGAGCTGTCAACCTCGAGCGCTAATGACGATTGTTTAGTGGAGTTACCCACTGTAACCGCTGAGAAGCACTAAAACGGTCGCTGCCGATTCACCCGCATTGGCTTGGACCGTGATTGAGGCTCAAGATAGTTTATTGCACCTCAGAGTACCGCCGATAATATGGTGACGGCATGAATCATAGAGTAATGGATGTTTCTGGAGCTTATGCAACCAGTCAATTGGAGAGTCTCAAGCATGCTGTAGTGAGGCGTGTCTTCCATTGCTGTGAGCAGTCTCAAGCCAAGCTAACCATTATAAGGGTACAGCCACTGACAGCGACAGCTAACTGCCAGCCAAGCCAGCAGTTTCAAGGCTGCCACACTGGATTTGATCCACCAATAGCCCCTCCAAATTATGTCACAGGCACTCGCCAAGATGCTTGTTCCAAGATAACCTTAAGTTGAAAACCAGTTACAGGAGATGTCAGTCCCGCTTTTCAAGGTACATTTGCTCCGGACCATCAAGATCGCGATCATTGACGTAATACAGGTGTTTCCTTTTTCAGGAACGCGTTGCGTTTAAACAAAAGCACGCGACATTCTTTTATTTCCTTCTCTGGTTCCTGCTGTCTCCATTGACAAATATCACGCCAAAGTCATCATGTCTAGTAGCATCGTCAGCTCCTTTGTCGGCGCCATTCAGGCGTCGGCATCTGTTCTGTTGACCATCTTCTATGGTGTTATCGCGGGACAGACTGAGCTGCTCTCTGTTGAGAGCGGTGCTCAGATCTCAAAGGTCTGCATCAAGATGTTTCTTCCTGCTCTGCTTATCGTCAATCTGGGTACCCAGATTGAAGCCTCCAATGCGTCGCTGTACTTGACCATTCTCAGTAAGTCCCAATTGACATGTCGCAGAGCTTCTACTAACAGATACCGTCTCTAGTCTGGGCTCTTGTCTACAACCTCGCCTCCATGGCTATCGGATACGCACTCACCAAGTGCTTCAAGATGCCCAAGTGGTTCACTCCCGCCATCACCTTCAACAACACCACCTCGTTCCCTCTTCTCTTAATCCAGTCACTCGGTTCAGCTGGCGTTCTTACCACCCTCGCCAAGTCCGATGATGACAGCAGCGACGGTATCATCGACCGATCCAAGTCCTTCTTCCTCGTCTGCTCCGTCGTCTCCAACATGCTCACATTCGGTCTCGGTGGAAAGCTGCTTGGAGTCAGCGACGAGGATCCCGTCGAGTCAATGGATGAAGATCTCCGCGATCGAGCTGGACACAACGACGACCAGCCAACTGACAGCCAAGAGTCTCATGAGCGCACATCTCTCCTCCCCGGCCGTCTTCCCCGATACGCGAAGAAATACTCCCGCCGCACTGCACAAGCCCAGCACGCCGTTTGGGACAAGCTCCACCCTCGAGTTCAACACGCATTGGCGCTCGTCACTCAGTTCATTAGTCCTCCCACTGTTGGCGCGCTCATTGGTGTCATTCTCGGCTTCGTCCCACCTTTCAAGAAGGCTTTCTTCAATGACAGCGAAGACGGAGGTTTCCTCAACGCCTGGTTGACTGTCAGTCTCAAGAACATCGGAGAGCTCTTCGTCACTCTGCAGGTCATTGTTGTCGGTATCAAGCTTGCACACAGTCTGCGACGTATGCGCCGCGGACACGACTCTGGTAACCTCCACTGGCTCCCTCTCTCCATGGTCGTTCTCATCCGATTCATCATCTGGCCGCTGTAAGTCAAATGCTTGTCCCTCCCAAGGTCTCAATACTGACGATGATGTAAATAGGCTAAGCATTGCCTTCATCCGAATGCTGATCACTCAGACCGACGTCCTCGGCGACGACCCTGTTCTATGGTTCACCATGATGCTGATGCCCGCCGGACCTCCTGCCATGAAGCTCGTGGCCATGGCCGAAGTAGATGATGCCGACGAGAACGACAAGATGTCTATCGCTCGAGTCCTCATGGTAAGCAAATTCATTGACTACGTCGATTGATCACCGCAGCTAACATCACCGCAGACTTGCTACGCTATCTCTCCTCTCCTGTCGTTTGCTGTCGTCGCCAGTTTGAAGGCCTGTCAATAATCGACTGCACATCAAAAGCGTAGTACTCCGCTCCTTCCTCAAGACCGAGCTATTCCAGTACAACACGGGAGCCCGGTGAGAAAGCAATTCATCATTCTTGCCGCCCATCCGGCGAGCAAGCGATTGATGTATGCATCGCTACACTCGAGTTAGTCCACCACAGTCCATGCGTGCTTCACACGTCTTCTGGTTGTTCATATACGAGCACAGTTCATTGGCACCAGGCAACGGCATTGAACTGTCCCGGATTATTGAGTAGTGTCAGAGTTACAGCCCAGTCACTCGACCGCCATGGCACAGGTCATGGCGACGAGACTTAGACGTTGAATACGATAGACGGGACAAATAAGAAAGTAAACACGACGTGCCAACCGTTCCATCTCTCCCGCATCCTTCTCAAATATATTCGTAATCTCAACCCTTTATCACTCATCAATCGACTACATGGACAAGGCCCCAACAAAAAGCATGAAAGCAGTCCCTAAGTTAGCCAAAACCTTGCCCATGTTGTTCTCATCACCAATCCCATAGAGCAATACCGCAACACCGGTTCTGTAAAGGCCCATCAAGACCAATAGAATCATGACACCATCTTTGGCCCCAGTTGCTTGGTTGGCAACCAGCAATATTCCAACAATGAGCTCCCAAAGTCCCAGCATATAGATTGGGCCTGAACTCGCGTCGTCTTTGTGAGTGACATTGTGTTTCAGACCATTGATGGCGTATTCGGCTTGGGGGTTGGTGAAGGCCATGATGCTTCGAATGATGCAGCCGATGCCGAGTAGGTATACCGCGAGATCTGCGAAAGCCATCGTAGGAGTGTTGGGCACGTGCGGTGTGGTAAGTGAGTTTCTTGATGTATAGTAAGTTATGACTGATGCAAGAGGATGAATGGTGAAAGTCTTGACTTGGCCCTATGAGTTGCTGGAGTCTTACGTCAGACGAGATTTAGTGGTATTGATGGCCTTTACTATGTGGGGTTAATACTAGCTTGATGGACAGGGAATACCAGTGGAAAGGGGTTCTTATAGATAGGAACGAAAGCTGTAAGTAAGTTCAATTGCATATTCTCTCGACTACTATAGCCATAGAGCTGTACACTCTTAACGTGTCTAAGTAACGGTATATCCTCCGTCAACTCGAAGGTCCGCCCCAGTCATATAGGAAGATGCATCTGACAACAGGAACGTCACAGGGCCCATTAAGTCCCGAGGCTGACCCATACGTCCTTGAGGAATGAGAGACGTCCAAGTCTTTTCGAGATCTGGGTTATCATTCAGGATCTTCTGAGTTCTGATAACTGTTAGTAACGAACTCTGGTGATAGCGAAAGTAATGGCCTTACAAAGCAGTCAGCATGTATCCGGGAGAAATACAGTTGACTCTAATCCCGGCATGAGCCCACTCTACTGCCAAAGAAGCAGCAAGATGACGAACGGCTGCCTTGGCTGCGTTGTATGGCCTAGTGATTTATGTTAGCAGACTCGTGGCGATATGTTCGACGGAGAACTTACGCTTGGGGTTGCGGGACATTGACGATAGCACCGGACATACTTCCGATAACCACGATACTACCGGGTACCTGACGCTCCATAAGGTGCTTCGCAACAGCAACAGCAAATAGGTAGGTCCCGTCGACATTGACACCCCACAGCTTGCGCATGCGATCGATCGGATAGTGGATTGCGTCAAAGTTCTCAGTAAATCCAGCTGACGTGACAAGACCATCTATCTTCTGATGTATGTTGAGGATCTCGGCGATGCATTTAGTCACCGAGTCTGGGTCGGAGACATCTGCATAGTGAGCTGTAACTCTTGGGATTCTGCAGAGCCGTTAGACCTTTACTCATAATCCGATGAGAATACTGACGTCTCACTGTTGGGGTTCTCTCTTTTGAAAGCATCTGTCAGCTGGCCGACCTGAGACTGCGCCTCATCCTCTATAACACATCAGCTTCGCCGGTAGCTCCAGAAGCACAACTTACTGTTCAAATCAACAATGGCAAGATTAGCGCCAGAGTATACAATACCCTGGCCCATGACCAGACCAAGGCCTCTTGCGCCGCCTGTGATAACGATGGTCTTGCCTTCGAGAGACAGCGAGGCTAAAGTTGGCTTGGAGAATTGTCCTCCTTGACCAATCAATGGCTTGCTGGCCGGAAGTTCATGATGTTCGGGGTACTCGACGCGGACGGCAGCGTCAGTACGTGAGTAGGATCGCTTGGGAGGGGCTCCAGCAGGCATTCTCAGTAGTGGTTATCTCAATTGATTAAACGGTGAGCGAGGCGTGAACGTTAAGTGAGGAGAAGGACTGCATTTATCTTGTAAGACTATCTGGTGATCCTTTCCACATCTCGACCAACATTTCTTGTCTTGCAGTCCATGTAAGCTCAAAGCCATGTAACATGACATTCTTTGCTGATCTCCTTCGTTGCCGAGGATTCCACGGACGAATACGAGAGCGTGTTCCAAGGCTCAGCTGATCAGCAGAACACACTCTTGGAAGCATGGCGATCAAATCCATTGGCCAAGCTGAAAGAAAGAACAGGTTTTACTGTCCCTAGAACTAATATTTCATCCCCCGCGCAGCGGTTGGCCGAGGCGGGAAAGCCGAGTGTTGATGTTCACGTGGTTTGGATGAACCCCCACACGTCACCCTTGATCAGATCATCTTGAATTGTCTGACAACGAGACTTTTAGCCATTGTTGGTTGATCATGTTTGGTCACCTGTCAGCTGCCCAGTAGAGTTTTACTGGTAAATGTTTGCATTGGGTTGCATTGAACAGACAATTTCCTCGAGATAACGTGCTTTACTCGCCCGAGGCGGCTTCCAGAATCTCCATAACCTCCTCTTCCTTTGTAATCGTGTAAGCATTAGTCTTGATCCAAATATCGTTTAAGCTATTCTTAGCCAGACCAGGCAAGTGATCAGAACCGATTCCAACATCCTTCAGTGTCCTCGGCATATCCAATTCTCGAATAATCAAGTCCAAAATATCTCCCAAGTCTTGATCCTCCACGCCTTGCATGAGTTCTTTGACAGGTTCCTGATTCACTATTATCTCGAGCGTCCTCTTCTGCTGATCGTTGTTGACGCCCTTTTTGGCGTTGAACTTACACACAGCAGGAAGAAGAATGCAGCTCGTTTCACCGTGTCCAACCCCCAATGGGCCAAGTTGATGACCGATAGCGTGGCTGGCACCCAGGGGTACACCACTAGATACCGCGCGCATGGCTTCCACGACACCTATCTGACAGAGATGGCGAGCATCCAGATCCTCTGGGTCATGCTTGCATCGTAGTAGACCAGGTATCAACTTCTCAAGACCCCTTACTGCCGCGTCGTCGCCATCCTGGTTACTCTGGAGTGAGCACAATGTCTCAACGCAATGATCCACGGCTCGGATTCCAGTACTAAGCCAGACCTTCCGAGGAGTCGTGGTAGTCAATTGCGGATCTTGAATGACAAAGTCTGGATCGACGTTTGGCTCAAACGTATGCTTGGCTTTGGTCTTTTCATCAGTCGCTCCAGCGATAGCCTGATACTCTCCACCCGATAGTGAGGTCGGAATACAAATCAAGGGAATCGTCGGCTTATGCAAAGTCTCCCGCATGTTCGGATTATGCGACTTTCCGCCCCAGAGCGTGTCAATCTCATCGCGAGTCCAAGCATTGTTGACGATGGCAAAACGCACAAGCTTTGCCCCGTCCGTGAGACTACCTGCGCCAAGAGTCACGATGCAGTCGATGTTGAGGGTCTTGACTTCGGCCAGAATGTCGACTATCTCCGGAATGGGTGTATGTGGCGAAATGCCAATACGAACACCTGCAACGCGATCCCCGAGAGCAGACTTGAGATCTTGAAGAGAAGAAGTGTTGTTTGATAACGAACGGGACGCGATGATGTAGACTCGCGAGCACTGGAAATGCTCTTGGACTTGCTTGAGGCATAATTCTGGAAAGGGTCGGCCAAAGCTGATCACGGGAGCTTGCTTGCTGGCGAAAGCTGGACGGGAGCTTGCCTCGCTGTACCAAGAAGTCATTATGTTTCTTTCTTAATGAGATGGATGATGTTTAAAGATGAAGTCCTGTCGGCCTAGGCGGATGTTCTAGAGACTGATGACGTTAGACTTGAGCTGGTGTGGAGCCGGCTAAAGTCATCGTGGTATCATCCGGGTTGTCAATATCTTATCAGATCAAGCCATGGGTTCTTTGGTGGACTTGTGTCCAATGACATATTACAGAGCGCATCTAATAGAATATTCCTCTATTTACCCTCCTGTGTATCATCGTATCCCCGCTCTAGTTGGTTATACCCTAAGTCTATCTGTCTTCCTGATCAAATTCTCAATTCTCTGCTTATCCGCGTTCTCATCAATGGAATGAACATCAATCGGCCATGATGAATGAACTTGCTCCGACATTCGTATCGACGCCTCTTCGTCCTCATCTCCAATATCAATATTTTTGAGTAGATAGTAACTATCAGCACCCATATTCCTCTTCATGATTCGAAAGACAATCTCGGCTAGATAGCAATTTCTACTTTGATCATGAAGTCCCTTGGCGGCCAGCGCCACCGTTGATCGTCTGCTCTCTAGTTCTCCTGAGTCAATGCTGTTCATGGCTTTGATCTGCATAAAGCCTAGGAAAGATAACAACGAAAGAAGAAAGAGGTCGTATGACTCGTAGCCATGTCGGAGGTAGTATAGTCGGAGGATGGTCTCAAGTCGAACTTTAGCTTCGTTCAGTGCTCTCTGCACGCTTGCATCGTACAGTGCTTGTGGGGTTGTGACGTTAAGTGTTTCTAGGAGGAATATGATCAAGTTGTAATAATGCATACTACAAAACAATTAGCACGTTTCGGGGGTTGATACACTGGTACTCACTGAAGCTTGAGTTGCCAGGGAAAGCATATTTCTTCTGCCGTAAGATCTGGGGGAAGATTGCGATACCAACTGTCGAGCCGAACACAAAATCCTTGGATGCTATTGATGGTCATGTTGACCGGTCTCTCGACCTTGATGAAGAACATGGCAGCCATGTCGTTGATAATGGCTCGAAACTCGGCCAAGGCAATAAAGGTATGACTGTAGTTCACCGCTATGGGCCGTTTGCTCGATGGATAGCGAAGCCAAAGATCACCGTAGTTGTTGGACTCTTCGGAGATCTCCGGCAGCGCTATGCTGGGGGGCATGGATAATAACGGTGCCTTGAAGACGGCAAAACTGTGAACACTGTTTACGGTCAGCAGACTCTTGAGATCATCATTAGATCAGCTCACGCTTGTAGTCCGAACAACGACCACGCTGTGATGGCTTTAGCATTGTACTCAACCTCATCATCAACTTGTGTTGGCTGAGAAAAGAGATGCATTGTATGAGCCGCAGCAACCGCCTGTGCAAGGTACTGCCTCCCAATCTCATCAGCACCATTCGCATCGTACACCACCGACAACACGATGGCAGCTTGGATGGTCGTCAGCCTCGGCTTCGCAGCCTCAAGCTCCCACAGCCGCCGTGCCTCGCCGAGAAATTGATACCCCAACATCTGTGGATTCCAGAACTCGGCACGATTTGCCGCCTCAGAGTAGCCGTGCTGCGAATCAGATTCTTAGAAATCGATGTTCTGCTGGTTCTTCTTTGGGTGGTACCTACACAAGCAGACGCAAGAACTGCATGGACCAAGAGGGGTGAGCAGTATTGCTTGCGGCCTGAAAGCATATCTTGAAGGAAGTAGTCCTTCTGGAAGGCGGGAAGGAAGGGATATTCCTTGAGGAGATAAATTTGAATGAGTTTTCTCAAAAGCTTGTCATCGTCGATTATCTTGGTCCATTTCTTTGCCTTGATGGCGTCTAGATGGGGGTCGGTGACTTCAGCAGCATGGTATGGAACCTGGTAGATGATAGGATCCTTTACTAGTGTTTCGTCGGGTTGTGGTCCGTCTGAAGAGAATTTGTAAATCCACGAGTCGAAATAATGATTTTGGTCTCGCATCAAAAATTTAGGCATATCTCGAGAGTATGGGAACTGATATTGGTAGTGAGTGTTGGGCTTGACATGTAGTTGAAGTAAAAGATCGGCTTCTCGGATACGTCCAAGAATGGATCCAACATCATGGCCTTTTCGTATCCTGTCAAGTATCTCTGTGGCTTCCCTGTGAGGTTTGCTAGCAAGGATAGAAAACAGTTGCTGATAGGCACTGGACTGTTGCTGCAGCTCTTGGGAACTGGCTTGGTATTGGCACGTCAAGTTCCGTCTTTCACAAGGCGTACATTTAGGTCTGGCTCCGTCGCACTAGGAAAACTTTGTTAAAAGCGAAATACCAATTACATATTGTAAATACACACTCTGGACTTGCGGGTTCGACAGTGTACACAAGCCGAAGCAATGGGCTTGGTCCTTTTCTTTAGAGGAATACCGCTCGAGAGAGTTAAGCTGGAATCGCTTCTGGGACTCTGGCTGCTTGAGCTTGAGTTTCTATGGTGATGAGATGGGGCGGGTAATAGCGGTCGAGACATAATTTGGGATCAAAATAATGAGAATATTCACACTCTCGATAGGGTAGCAAAGGGCGTTCATCGATCTTGATTGAAGCGGAGGGGGAGAGGGGGACTTGCTGCATATCACGTGAACTGATCTGCACCAATCAACTAGCCTCGGGAGCAGTCCGGCCTTGGAATTTGCGTCACTCTTACATACAAGACTCGATGACGGGCTGTAGACCGGTCCACAAGTCCCGGCTTGGCTACAGTAGCTACGTCACAGAAGTGCCATCAATGGACAAACAAAGCACTAACAGTTAAAACACTTTATACTGGATGTTCATAGACAATAATTCTTTTCAACTTCTAGAACATCTGACTAGTGGGCAACAACAGACTTTTATGAAGACTGTAAACCCTAGGTACTAAGACTGTGCTCAGAACTGTAGTGTACTGTACCGACCGGGATGTGGCGATCTGGGCGGTCAAATCCTTGACGGATACAAGTTCCGGAACCATTCCAGGGCATCATCCTCATACGCTAATGCAGGGCAGTCTAGAGAGAGTTTTAAGTGGAGTAGAAACATTTTTTACTGTACAATGAAAGACCAAGACTGCGACAATTGTGTAGATGTCACCCACAAGTCTCAATATCTTGTTGAAGATCTCGCTTGATATCAGACATTCTCGGTTCTTGCTCATCATCTCCTGTCTATCATCACCTCTCCTGAGGCCCCTTGTGAAACATTTCTGCTGGCCGCGTGTCAACCTCCACGTCGACCCAGCTTACGTACAGTAACAAACCCACATCACGACTCATTCTCAACCACTAAGACGACGAGTCTGGACCGCCACAAAACAGACATTTTGAGTTCCGCCCGTTGATCGACCCACGTTTCAACCCGGGAACCGTTGTGGAGGGTTGCAAAAACTCTGTTTTCGTCGGGTCTTTCGGCCAGTGACATGGATTCTAGACAACTTGACGCGTGTGTCGACAGAAACAAGCTCATGTTGTGTCCATCGGGTCGGTTCTGATGTGCGGAGAATGCTGGACTGTTCCACAAACTGGGGGTATATGAGGTTGTCTGTTCCCTTTACTAGATCTAGGTAGATTCTCAATTGCATGCTTCTGCTCTTTCATTCCTTGTGTGTAGCACATTCACTTCATTCTTTCCTTTTTTACCAATACTCTCTTTTATAATGAGATTCTCATCTCTCCTCTCGAGCGGGCTCGCATCTTTCTCACTGGTTGCTGGACTTCCGACCCTCACACCATCTACAGAACACTCAGTTCAACAAGTCAGAAATCCAGTGTATAAGCGAGATGGCCTCGCAGCGCTTCTCAAAGTGCATCGAAAGTACCACATTGATCTTCCCGATTATCTCGCCGCTTCAGCCCTTGCTCGCCGTGATGGAACTGGCACCGTTACCAACAGACCTATCGATGATGATGCCGAGTGGTTAACGCCAGTTCAAATCGGCAACCCCCCAAAAACATTCCAGATGGATCTTGATACTGGATCATCGGACCTCTGGGTTCATGGGTCGAAGTCGGCTGCTGCTGGCGGTAGTCGCACTCGATACAACTCTACAGCATCTGAGTCCTGTAAAGAGATGAACGACGCAAAGTGGTTAATCGAGTACGGAGATGGAAGTGGCGCATCAGGGCACGTGGTGAAGGACACAGTTTCGATCGGCGGTCTCTCGGTGCAAGTCCAAGCTGTACAGGTGGCAGATAAGGTTCACGACTCTTTCTCCAAGCAGCAAAATGTCGATGGACTAGTGGGACTGGGTTTCCACTCCATCAACACAGTCACGCCAAAGAAGCAGAAGACGTTCTTCGAGAATGTCAACGAGGAGCATAGCGCTGGGGTGTTCACAGCAGACCTACAGCACGATGCCCCAGGCACATATACGTTTGGTGTCATCAACAAGACAGCATATACCGGTGATATCGTCTACACAGATGTCGACCCGTCCAAGGGCATGTGGACATTTACATCTACAGGATTCACCGTTGGAGACGGCAAGCTCAATAAGACATCCACCAAAGTTATCGCTGATACGGGCACCTCACTCATTTGGCTCCCCGACGAAATCAACGAAGCTTACTACTCCCAAGTCAAGGGATCAGAGATTGACAAAACAGCAGGAGGATACGTCTTCCCCTGCGATACAAACCTTCCTGATTTTACCTTTTACATCGGCAAAACAGGAGTCACAGTACCGGGTGCCTATATGAACTTTGCTCCTTTAGCAGGACCCAGAGCCGGAAGTTCCCAGTGTTTCGGCGGACTACAGTCGAGTTCTGACTCGGACCTCAACATTATTGGGGATATCGCACTAAAGGCCGCGTATGTGGTTTTCGATGCGGAAAAGACACGGATAGGGTTTGCTAAAAAGACATTGCGTGGTGTGGAGTAGAGAGAAGTGATTAAATACTTGAAAAATTGTCAGTTTAGCGATAGAAATCATGAAGTTAACGATTTGGTCAACATCCACCCTACCCTCGACAATGAAAAAGTTTGTGCAAGAGCCTGCTCAGCATAACTATGGTTTGTGAGAAATCGCGCACAAAGGTGTGCTCCCCTGCATAAGTGGATCTGAGAGGACACGCATGCACAAGGGCGAACGAAGCTTGCACTAAGAGACTGTGAAGGTACCTTTAGGCAGCCCCACTCAGGACTGGAAGTACCTTTTTGTGCTGACTTGTGGAAGGGAAGGAAGTCCTCTTCTCGCTGATCGCCGACAGCCGATGCAGATAAGATAAGTGGGCTCCACTCAAATCATCAGGAGACGACACTGAAACACCGTCGGATCTACCCATTTGCTATTGGTCAACATTTCGTTAAAGCCACCATCATGAAATAACCATAAACTCCTATTAACCCTAGCGTATTCGTACCGTACCATCTATCCAATACTAATTACTCCTGGACCACACCCAATTGAGGTAAGATGCCATCCAACCGCCCTCTCGATATTCTTCATCTGAACGGGGATCTGGTGCGCCTTCATAGTCATAATACCCAGCATAACAGCAGCCAAACATGACTGTCCGTACCATGCAACCGCCTCTTCCAGTACCACCTTGACATCCTTCCTCACCTCCGCATCACGACACTTGAACAGTACAATGACCAATGCCTTGACGACCATGTTGTCCATCACGTTCCAGTCAATTGTCTCTCTCAGCTCCTGCTGCATACGGCGTGTTGTGCGGATGATCTCACGCCAGATGGGTCTTGCGTCGGGCAAAACCTTGGTCTCGGAATCGAGCTGTAAGTGCAGGCTTGAGAGACACTCTGTGTAGAGAGCTTCAAAGATACAAGCCGTGACGTAACGATGTGGGTAGTCATATTGATAGTCTTCGGTGCTGCGATACAGCAGGACAAAAGCGCGGTGCCAGTTGTCAAGAACAGTAAAGGCTTTCTCCCATGCTGCTTTGGACTCGGGATCAACGACAGCCTCATCGTCAAAGAGATGGTGCGAAATGTGATGCTGTGTGACGTCCCACCATCGCAAAGCTTCATCCAAGTCTCGGAATGATGCGGGCATGTTGTAGATCTCATATCTGTGTCTGCCCCAGCATCGCTTACCTCCCTTGAAGTCGGGACGATCATCACCATTGATGCCCAGCTCCAGAGGCCAAGAATAAGTGCTCAATCGCTGGAACATGTCAAACATGGCCGACTCAAGGGCATCAAGCTTTAGGTCTGACAGGGAAACCTGTTCTTGCTCACATCGCTTCCCAAAGTAGGTAATTAAAAGCCGACTAGCGTGGTCGAAATGCAGAGTTGCAGCCTTCATATCTCCGCGCATCATGTCGTACACCATAAAGATGACAGCCACGTGGGCAACCTGTAGCAATGACTGAAGCCCTGTTCCAGATGCCCTCACGGCACGGATGGTGCGGTTGTAGTACATGAGAGAGAGCTGCTGGGCCTTTTCGGCTGCTTCACCAATCACGTGGGGTGCAGTGAAAGCACCCACAGCAGCACCTACAGCACAGCACATCTCACGGATGGCAGGGTTGGTGTGTGCAATCTGGGGTGTAATAGCAGCCAGCGTATTATGAGGCAGAGAGGTGCCCTGCTCGTTTGTAAAGAGGAAAGTGGAGAACATATCCCACGAAGTCTGATCCTTGAACACGGTTGTGACATAGTCTGGTACAACCAGGATGCGGGTATCACCTCCCGGGATTGCAGTAGCTATTGCGCCTCCAGCTGGAGTGTCACGGATAATCTCCGTGTATGAGTTGAGACGACCAAGCTTGTTGGTCTTGATTGTGCTTGTACTTACGGTTGTGGTCGTGTTATTGGTTGTTGGCCTGGAAGAGGCCGTTAAGCTGAGTGGGAAGTGACATTCCAGACCAACGGCCTTGCAACGGTTACATGTCGGTTTACCCTCATCACATTTCACTTTTCGGCGTCTGGAAAGGTCAGGTCAGCACTTGTGCGTATCAGGTAAATTAAACATGTACGCACTTGCACTCTTTACAGCCAGTGCGGGTCTTGAATGTCTTAGCCCGTTGTCTCTTAGTGGCATTCGGACCGTCCCTGACGTCAAGTACCGCGACATTGGGTTTCGGGACATTTTGCTAGCACAGCTTGTGTCAATGACATTGACCTACAGTACTTGAGAGATAGAGTAAACTCACCTTGTTATTGGCCCGGGCAGATGCACTCTGACTCTGACTCTGAGGTGATGGATCACTCTGGGTCTGCTGCACACCGCCACCAGGAGATCTGATAGCCAGCTCCATAGAGTCGAGTCCAACGTCAAACCCTGCACTGCAGTCTGACAAAACGGGTACCGTACTGGAGATAATCTGCTGTTAGCTGCAGTACTGGGGCAACACAGGCGTGTGTGACGTGATGTCCGCCGCCAAGTCAAGGGATGCGATGGGCTGGGCTGGACTGGACGGTAGGCGATTTGTGTTGGGTGAGCTGAGCTGAGACTGAACTGGTGTGTTTCCCACCGCGGGGAAAATCATTTAGAGCCATTTTTTCACACTCAAGCCTCCACCCGTTGAAGAAAGGGGTCCAATCAGAATCGGTTCTGTGCGAGTTACTCAAAGTGGTTAAGTTTGCTAGCCATAAGTAGAAGTGATCACCGGCCGTCCCGGTACCGAAGCCAACGACATTTCTCAGTTGGCTGTCTTACACATACTGTACATACTTTATTTGGTTTCATATTCTTTCAAATTCACAGGTAGGTACATCTGATCTGATCATAGACTCAAGTCTTCATATCTTTTATGGCTTTTCAAAAAGAGGGGTTGCATAAATTTACTGCTATCGCTACAGTACAAAACTATCCAAGCAAACCTTTATCCGGTACTCAGTCCAGCTGTGTACCTACCTACCTGGAGTATCCTCCACGCCCTAGCCCTGGTGGCACAAATCTAGACACCTACTGCTCCTTCAAAATCTGGATTTGCTCATCACATTTGTGGATGCATTCAGCCAGAAATCCCGATGTATCGGTAGCTACCTGCCACTCGTTACCAGCTTGAATGTATTCATCGCAAATCCGAATACACTCGTTGAGAATGTGTTTGTCAAACCCAATTTGACTTATTCTCATCTGTGAGTTAGGAGTCTTGTCTTTATCAGGTCGCTCCTTACCCCACTCATGCTCTAGCTTATCAAAAGAAGAGCTGTCCTGATAGTCTTTGCACGTAAGTTCCATTCGCAACATAGCCTGGAACATCCACATAAGTTGTGCTTCTGCCAAAATCCAAGCATAACCCTCGGAAGTCCAGTCTTCTAACTTCTTGTCATTTCTAGCAACCCAAGACTTGATGCAGCTGACTGTGTCTCCAATAAACTGCCTATCATATTCACTACCCCAATCAGGACGAGCGTCGAAAATAGCATGGGTATGGGTAGTGAGAAATTCCAGCTCCCCAACGCCAAGTTAAGAAGCCCAGAACTTCAGAACTTCATACTCAGGCCTGATGAGCCCGATACCTCTATTAGATAAGCCTGTGATGATCTTTCGAATGCCAGTGGTGAATTCACCGTAGGATGACCTACCTACCCTGTCGAGAGGTTTGTTGGTAAGACGCGCAAGGTTCACGATGTCGATCGCATCGTCTGCGCCGTGTTTCTTAATCAAGTCCAGGAGCTCATCGTCAGAGCTTGTTTTGAGAGAGTCCATCGTGATGGCGGTACTGTGACTGTAAGTTGTGATTGTGATTGTGATTGTGAGTTGTGACGTTGCAAAGATTCCTTCTTCTCAGTAACCGTAACAGAAAACAGCGTGAGGTGAGGAGAACGCAGGAAAATAATAAAGAAAACCATGAACTTTGTAGAACAAAATGCTATTACAGTAACCTGTTCTGTGAGCACCCAGTCAATATGTGGTGCCGTAACCGTGCGTGGGCACATTTGAGTCTCTGTGCCATTGTCCGCCTATCAACTCCATCCTGTTTCCTTTGTACAGTTCTGATTAGAAGAGAACATCCACGATTTAAGGTTTTCCCGAGGCCCGAGTCCCGAGGTATGCATACAAAAGCAACACAATAGAGAACATCCACTCCAAGATACTACGCTGGTTCTAGAAATGTCCAGGGGCCCCAGGTCCGGTCAGAAAAGCATCGTTAGCCGTGATGACAAGAGGGAAAGTGACCATAGGGCCAGAGTTTATGTTGAGACTCACCCTGACCCGGGGCTGATCTGGCTCGTCGGCACCCTGGAACATCAAAGAGTGGGCATTTTGAAGGTGAAGCTGGCTGGGCATGCCAGAGAAGGGCAGTAGGAAGGACTCGTTGCCAGGACCTTGCATGATTAAGCCGGTGTTAGGGGTCCTAATACAGTAAAGTTGCAAAGGACTTCTGTTTGACATTGCCACTAGACCGAATTGTTAGGTTGAATTCTTTTGAGGAGAGCAAGTGCAGTCGTTTCTTGGAATACTCGGAACACCGCCTGGTGAACCTTTAAAATGTTACGTTTATATTGATCACCCAGGCACTCTAACTCCACAAACAAAGATAGCGAAAGGTATGACGACCAAGATTCTCATTCCGGTATGCCATGTATCTGAATCGGTAGCTGAGAAGTTGTTTGTAGTAATTGTTGGATTAAAAGAATGCGGACGGAATGTGAAGATTTGTCGTCAAAAAAAAAAAAAGATACCCTGTGTCTCTTTGTGATGGCATCTGGGTGGGTTCTCGGCCAACAGCCACACTAGCAATCTGAACTTGCGATACAGGATGGCCTACATATCCAGTCCATTAAATCTCGGATTCGGCATTATCTTTAATTTGATGCTACTGCTTGAATGAGGCCATATCCGTCGGCAGATGTAAACAATTTATAATGTATCTGTTGATCGGACGGGTAGATCATCTTGCAAAGAGTTGAATGGGATCTTACAAAGTGGCGGGTCTAGGGTAGCCTACATTGCCTTGCTCACTGTCTGACAGCCTTTGCTCGGTGAAGAGAAATCTGACTAACAAAGTCGCTCACACTGTGCAGAGTCATCAGAATGACCGATACTCGCGGCGTTTTGCTGCTAAGATATACAGTGCTATCAAATGTTTGATAAAGCCTACCTACTGTGCTCCCAAGCTGTCAATCAAGCTGTCAATCATGGAAACCCATGCATGTGTAAAGTCAAGGGAGGAGGGCGATAAAAGAATTGCGGGAGACAATCCTGGATCATAATGCATCTACAATGAGTTGAAGCGGACTAAAATTGGTCATGAGGTTAGTCTTAGTCTGCATTTTGCCATTCACTGGGCGAGGGGGGCTGGCACAGAGGACGCGTTCTGACACGCGCAAAGAAAGTGGCAGGGGACCAGAGAAAGATACTTCCTGGGCATCCCTGTCAGCACAGGCTGGTCAATGCGCTGCTCAGAAATTGTTAGAGCATCTCGTCAACGCGCCTGCTCCAGGTGGCCCCCAATCTCGTATCCTCTTGGCTTCTCATCTTGTTGCCGCGGCGGCTCTTGTTTGCGTCTGTTCTACCGCCCAGACTCCACTCTTCGCTTCCGTCGCGACTGTGTCTGGCGCTCTTCTACTCTTCGCGCGTCCATCAGATCCGCTCACTGTTGCGCTTGCTACCGTTTCCTCCCTCTCCGTTTCTCCTCCGTTTCCTCTCCGTCCGAACCAGCGTTTCTCTTCGAACCCTTCAGGGATCCACTACAATAACCTCTTGACTGCGCGCGACGTCAAGCTCTCCACCGTTCTCTGCTCGCGACGCGTGCTTGTCAGCGATGCATTGTCCTCGACATGCCTTGCCGCCGTAGGCCCACCCCGCCTAGACAGCACACCGCCCATCATGTTTCGAGCTCGAGCGAACACATTCCCTGCTGGCCAGGCTATGGCCTCGGGAGTTGATTGAGGATTGCATCTCCCCATTAGTTCCCTGCCCAGTTCGCTTGAGAACATGGGCACACCCTCGTGTTCGCCGTCTTCCCATTGCCTTCTTCTCGCCTTCGTCGGCTTGGGACTTGGGGTTTGCAATGACCGTCGGCTCTGGGTGCTACTCCACTACGATGCTCCCAGATGTCTCTGTCATTTGCCAATCGCGAAAGACATCTATTCCTCTATCGCCGTTCTCGACTCTATGATCTATGTCCAACACCTAATCCCTCATCTAAACATCTGGCTCAACCTCATCCACCGTCGGCACCTTGTTCAACTCGACCCCAAAGAACTTGGCAATCTCCTTGACACCATCCCAAACAACCTGCACATCCTCCTTCGACACGCCGATCCTCCTCGTCCCACGGATATGCCAATGCGACTCCGTCGGCAAGTTCTGACTCATGATCGCCGGCAGCACCACCAGCTGTGTATCTATATCGTCCAGAACCTTCCGATCCGATAAGAACAACCCGTACGTGATCTCCATAGAGGTCCACGCAAAGTCCTTGTGCGCGTCGAACATGCCGATCGTATCCCCCGCGTTTCGAGTGTATACTTTCTTGAACCAGTCTTTCCCGCGCTCGTGGCTTTCGTCGTTGATCTGGAATCCTTCGCGCGTGACGCTGTAATCTCGGTCTTCGGGTCGCTCGATCTTGCTGATTGCAAGTATGGCCTCAAGGGGTTTGCACACGCCGACGAGGATGACGCTCTTGAGGAGTGCTTCGCGGATGCGTCGGATAAGAGCCTGTCGCGACTCGCTTGTTTGATATGCGTCTTGCTTGATCAAATACTGGTACAGCGCGGCAGCGGCTTCTGGATCGGGACTAGTGGAGAGACAGGCAATGACGAGGATGTACCAGCGTTGGTCGCCGAGTTGAGTGTTCTTGAAACTGCTCTCGATCTTTTGGAAGAGCTGCGATAGCTCTGGGGTAAGTTCTGAAGGCGCCATTGTGATGTGCTTGCAGAAGTGAAGTCTCGTAGAGTGCTGTGTCGTGGAATGAAGGCTGGTGAACAAGGTTCCTTCCCCTCTTTGTACTGCGTCACGTCATTCACTGCAGTTGCCGCGTGACAACAATGCTCGTGGAACTTGTAGACGTAGATTACTAGTCCCCAATTCGTCTCACTCGACGACTGTGCTTCAGTTGCCAGCTGCAATTGAGGTATCTGCAGCTTTAATTGCCGAGCATCGGAGCGAACCCCAACTTCAACCCCGCAATTCTATTGGCCTCAGCGCAACATACAGGCTCCCATGTCAGAGCTCAACCTTGTTGTCTCTTTACTAACGATCCATCATTAGCTAAACGTATCGTAGTTCAGGGTGTGCCCTTCGCTATGTCTACTGACTGTCTACAAATGCTCCTCCAGTCGTGACGTGGTCCAATAAACTGCCACATGAAGGTATCATATCATTTCATGCAATGATCCGAGATGTAAGCTGATGCCCGGAACTCCGATCACTGCTTACGCCCTGCTCTGCGGACAGCCCGAAGATCCCGTAGAGATTTATATCCAGCTCCTTTCTCTCAATGGCACCATAAACACCTCCATTTCCTTCGCGTCAATGCTACAGGCTTGCGACAAGCATCGAAATCATGGGTCAGCAAGCGTCTCTGGTCGTCGAAGTCGAGATCCAAGCCCCAGTTGATACTGTACAAGAAGTTGTAAGTCAATTCAAACCAATAGTGTATAGTTATTTAATAGGAGCCAGTTCAAAGATTTTTCTAGCTACAAAGAATGGAGCACTTGGTCCATCGAGTCTGCAGACCCAACAAAGGAGGTCAACCACTTGATCCACAACGATAAGCTCAAGGTTAAAATACAAAACTTCAAGTTCAACAGCACACTTCTCGTGAGTCATTCCGACTTTACACCAAAGGTCTGGCTAACCAAGCTTTAGAAAAACGAACCTGACGTGTTTGAATGGAATGGTGGTTTTGGACCGCTGCTCCAGGGCGCCCACGAGTTTAGCTGGAGGCCAAGTGCCAAGATCAACGGAGGTACCACATTTACGCAGAGGGAAAGCTGGCACGGCTGGCTCGTGTTTCTTTGGAAGCCTGGTAGAATCATGGGGAAGAAGAGTTATACGACTTTTAACGGGTTTAACATTGAGGTCAAAAGGGAAGCCGAGAGAAGGATTGCTCTCTAACCGATTGCTGCGATCTTGCATCTAACTTTCTTTCAAACCGTAGTATTCCTTGATCTCAATACAACTCCAGAGTGGCTCATGCTCATGCCCGTGTCTAAAAGAATCCCTTGTCCTCGGACCGTCTTCCCGCTACGGTGTCTACCCCTGACGATCTCCACAGCAGAGCCCCTTGAACAATAACGCCGTGTTTTAACATTGTAATCACCTTCCCTTCCATTGGCTCGTTTCCTCATCTTGGAAAATACCCCGATCAAAACCCGCAAGGACTCTATTTTGCACCAATGTCAATGGCCAATTGAACTACCTCCATCCTGTTATGGTAGTCGTCCGTGAGCCTCGGCATTGACAATGTTAAATGGGATGATCGAAAGACGAGAATTATTGGCAGGGATTGAGAAAATAGAACAAATAAAAGTCTTGAATGCACTCACAAATTTGCTTTGTTCTTTGTTGGTCCCCATCGATTAATTATTCACGATGCTTTTCAACGTTGTTTTCTTCGCCTCGACGGCCTTGGCTTTTGGCGCTGCTGGTAGCGAGTATGAGTGGCAGGCTCCTACTTCGTCTGACCGTGGGTACGCTCTTCCATGATGACAATGTGAAGCTAATAATTGTAGGACGAAGCCCTTGCCCCATGGTGAACTCTCTCGCCAACCACGGATACCTGCCCCGTAACGGCCTCAACATCTCTCTCGACGATCTCCTCGTCGCTTTCACCGACGCCGTCAACCTCGACCCAGCTGCCACCACTCTCGTCGGTAAGACAGCTGTGACCACTGGAGACGGCACTACCTTCAACCTCGACGACCTGGCCAAGCATGGCGGTAAGAATCCTCTTCAGTATCCAATAGCTTAATCTAAACGAGTTAGTTCTCGAGCACGACGGTAGCCTGAGCCGCGCCGATATCTACTTTGGCGATAACCTCAGCTTCAACAAGACCATCTGGGCTCAAACATCCTCCCACTTCACCGAGGACACAATCTCCATCAAGACAGCTGCCAAGGCACGCAACGAGCGTCTTGAGATTGCCGAGGCTAGCAACCCCGAGTACTCTCTGCCCGCCAACCAGAACCAGATCGGTTTGATTGAGACTGCTCTGTACCTCGTTGTCTTTGGCAACGCCAAGGATGGCAATGCGAAAACTGAGTGGGTCAAGACTCTGTTCGGTAAGTTCAACTATGCTTTGCGAGACGACGACAGATGCTAATATCGGTGCAGAGGAGGAGCGTCTTCCTTTGGAGGAGGGATATAAGAGGCCCGAGAAGAGTGTTACCGTTGCCAACATTCTTGGTATGGTTGCCAAGGTTGTTCTCGCTGGTATCTAGAGTCTGATATAGACTGTTAAATATTCTTGTATATAATATACCGAGTATGTCAGCTTCCTCTGGCATTTCCCTTTGTTGGAGTTCTAGTGTGAGAAGGCGGTATTTTAGATCATAGCCCGACTGCTATTTAACAAAGTTTTATCTCGTTAAGAGTACAACTTATAGTACCAAACCCTAGATTTGCCTATCTGTTCCACGAAAACTATAGCCTTGGCCGTCAAGCTCACTCGGTTGTGAGTTTACGAAAGGTGGCCTCCAATCCCGATTCTGCTGTGAGCGTTCCCAGTCATCATCTCGACCCCATGGGCTCCTACGCTGCCCACTTTCTGGCGACTGGTTGTAGAACGAGGGATTAAAAGATGGCGGAGTATAGGCTGTTGGAAAGACTGGTTCAGCCGTTGAAACCAACTGCACGTTGGGCTTTGCCTTTCGTTTTCTGCGCAGCAGCCATAGACCGACTATGACAGCCAACAAGACGACAGCACCGCCAAAAGCTATACCGACAATGGCGCCCGTGGAAAGACCGGATTGCGAACCTGTGCTCTTGCTTGCTGTTGCGGTTGCGGGGTCGGAGCGTCCATCTTTCCATCTTGTGCGAGTAGAAAAGGCGGCTTTCATGCCAAGTAACGTGCCGAGATCATGATTCACGAAGCCAGATTCGGGCTCCATCTTGATCGCGCCTCCGTCTTTGGTTCCGCCGATAACGCTGGTCACAAAACTAGGGACCTTGTATCCGAGCAAAGCAGGCTCGTACCCAGCCCATACGTGCTTGAAGCTTGACTTGATTTGATCGCCAAGATCAACGTTGTGAACTCCCCAGACTTCCTCCGAGTCGCACTGATCATCGTCTGCAGGAAATGTCCCTCCGATAGCGAGCATTTGGGACCCTTCGTTGACAACATCACAGGAGAGGCTGTGCGAGGGATACTCACCGGTCCCGTTGCGGTCGAGAGGGTACGTCTTGATCCATTCGAAGGATGGAAGGGAGAGAATGTAGACATCGTCAAATCCATATCCATCGAGGCCAATACCCGCGTTGAGGTAGCTAAGTAAATGTCAGACGCTTAAGCGGATGATAATTGAAGAGGGATCTATACATGTTGTAACTGCTTCGATCTTTGGCCCAGACAGCTCCAGCACAGAACCTCCTTCGATAATCAGGAACAGTGCCATTAGCTTCTTGAATATGCCACTTATTGGATATGATATCATAAAGAAATATTTGGTCCATCGGCTGCGGAACCATAGTCCCATTGTCACCAGGATCCTGGAGGCCCCCAAAGTAAACCAGCATACCACGATCACTCGCAGGAATGAACGCCATTACGCCTTCGGCTCGTTTGATATCGTCTGGTCCTGCGAGCTTGGTCCATGAATTGGTGTCCATCTTGTAGCGAATCAAGTTCGGTACTGCACGTGGCGGACCGGTCCATCCAGGCACTGAGTGATTGGAGCGATAGCCTCCGTAGTAATAACTGGCAGGGAGAGTTGAAGTTAGTATGCATGTAGCCAAGAAGTGCGTTTCGTTCTTTGTCTTACCCCTCTCCCCTTTCTTTCACGGTTGTGGAAGCGCCATAACTGACGCGTGAGATACCTGCAGAAGGGGGCCCAAAGTCGTCCCATCGATCATACCAGATATCGTAGGACATAAGGCTTGAAGTTCCCGGACTGCCATCGTAAAATTCACCACCAAAGAGGAATAATCGGTAGTTAACCTCGTCAGCCCATAAGGCTCCACCGTGCACAGAAGGAATTGAGGCATTCTTGCTGAGATTGGCGTGTATCTGTGGCATGTTGTCCTTACTGTTGGTGTCGAGGTCATGCCAAACGAGCCATGAGTCTAAGAGAGTCGTTAAGATCTACAGGGGGACCTTTGTAAGGGAGATGGCTTACTCGTATAGTTTTGGTGGTCTGAATCTAGTGGCTTCCAATTAACAAGACCTCCATCGATGTACAATTTGCGGTCGACAACTGCTGTTTGGTGGCCAAATCTTCGACAAAAGTCCTCGACAGGGTCATGTTGGAGAGAGAGCGACAACAGAGTCGCTAATACTGCTATCGATAATAGCATCGGGGCGCTTCGTCGCCTCATTCGTTCCACTGCCATGATAAAGAAGAGACTTTGGACTGTTGAAGCCGAGACGGACAGCTTTTTTGCGCATAAGGTCTTGAAGCTATTGACACCATGGGTATACCAACAAAGACAAGGGGAAGAAGTCGCCAGATATCAGGGATTGAGTGGCAGCAGTATATACGGGCAGAAAAAGAGGAATTGCGCCTTCATGACCGAATGAGTGCCTAATTGTCAAGCTAAACAACGGCTAGCAATCTTTCCGTCCAATAATTTGGATACAAATGTGTTGCGTAGCACCAGTCTCACAGTCTTACTTGCCCTCCCCCTCAGCCACGCCATTTTTAAACTCGGCTGTGCATTTCGGAGGAAGCTATTATGATTGGAGTGAAGAAAGCAGCCTAGTTATTTGACATTCTTTCGTCCCAAGGTTGCAGTATAATGCGTAGTGTTCGTGCTTGCTTCACTGCATCATGATCCTTTCACAGTACCCGGAACACTGTTAAGGTACATTGGCTCTCATAGGTAGAAGTAATGTCGCACCTGGTTAAGCCATAAATGCAGAGCACGCACTCGCTAACAATTAGTGTGCCACATCAATCTGGTTGAATGGCTACCTTCGTCGTACCTCCGCAGAACGGCGGAGGGGGAACCTTGAGCCCTGAGAGCCTGCTTAGCCAAGTAGGTTACAGGATTATGGCCCCCCAAGGTTTGTGTCATTAGAATAAAGTAGCCCAAGTACTGCGACTAGGTGGCTCTCGTCCGGTAGTGTTCGAAGATTGTTCCCTCCTTGGAGGCGTCCTGGGGGTCTTGGTCCGAGAATTGACGGTTTTAACGGCAACACAGGACAGTCTAAACTACCTTTTATCTACGCGATATGCCAGGCAATCTGCTGATAGTAGTGTCTGGTACTCTTCAGCTAAAGATGAGGCCCTTGAGGCCCTGAATTCTCTATCCGTGATTCCCCCACCGTTCAGCTTGCCAGCCCCATAGCGCCTGTCTATTTACGATCCCATAGCGGTCTCACTCATATTAGCTGAACAAAAGACAAGGCCGCATCTTAGGTCGATTTTCCTAGCAAGGCGCTGGCCAATGGAGTAATAGCTGCAGTCAGTCTTGAAGAGGTAAAGTTTGCTGGCCGGAATGACTGTTTGAGCTTTTTGAGGATTGAGTTATTCGAAGTGTAAGAAGAGAACAACACATTGGCAGTCACATGCTGTGAACCTAATACTAATCAGGGTTCTCACCGGAGTGAAGCCTTTTGAGATGTCGAGTTGGAAAAGCTTTGCGTACGGCGCATTCGTTTAGCTTTGAGGAGTGTGTCACAGAAGACTCAAAGCACCACGCGGTTTCAAAAGCCAATAACTAAGGTAAAGTATGTTAACTTGGACTGAGATTTACCAAGAAAATAGTTTCGAGAACCTTAACATTGAACGATAAATTGTAGTATAAATATGAATACTTGCTTCTCTTACGCCTACCTAAACTCTTCACTCTCAACCTATCTACAGTAGCACCCAGATAGCGCTCGCCACAACAAAACACACACCAATACCCCGGAGTCATCATGTCATCCTCAAACGACCCCAAAGGATGGCACAAGCTCCCCTTCGAGCTGCGACTAGAGATTATTGAATTCGCAATTGCTGCTCCGGAACTTCCAATACCATCTACAGCACAGGAAGGTCGAACGGAGAGATACAATCACCGTGATTGGGTCACATCTGAAACTTGGGGGAGTAGCGGATTGTGGGAAGAGCCGGCCAAAACCCCGACAGCAAACCTTTTACTTGTGAACAAGCAGTTCCATAATGATGTCAAGTACATCCTCGACCTCTTGCCGAATGCTTACCACGTCGATGTCATGGTTGTCAAGGACTACGGGCTCTGGCCAACTTGGTATTGTCTCAAACCACCTTCATCTGATGTCATTGAAGAGGTAACAGTCACGTTTCGCATCTTTGAGCCTACGAACGATCTCGATGATCGCTTCAAAGAGTCTCTTACTTTCTGGGCTGGTGATGGTGGACCAGAAGCTGCCGTGTGGCCTTTCCACCAGCTTTTCTTGACTCTCACCAGTGATGGACTTGGGCTCTTCTCGAAGAACTGTCGTGATTCTCGCAGTAGTCCTCCCAAGTATATCGTCAAGAGAATAAAAATGAACATTCTATCGCCCACCGATGGCGTTGCCCACACCAGACTATGGTGCAGGGAGGGTGAGAACCCGTGGTGGCTGCGAATACTCTATCTACACCGAAACCCCACGCCTGCGAAACCTGGAGATCAGCTCGCCGATTTTATCGCGCGCTGGATGTTCACGATTTCTAGACCGTCTACCTACACCTATCCATTTGTTGGTCGCTATTATCAGAATCTTGTTGAAGACATCTCACTTCAAATAAACGGTGCGGAGCATGCAAGACTGGACCCAGACCAAGCCTTAAAAGACACGTATTCACAGAAGCACCTTGGGCTCCCTTTGCAGCGATGGTGCAGAGGTCTTCGAAAGACGCGGGCAAAGACGAAACAGCGGTTCGAGTATGAAGAACGACCTAAGGCTCGGGAGATGTCTAATTCACAGTTGTGCCTTGAAGACTACCAGCTTAGTCAGTGCATTGTCACGACACAATGAATTGTCCTCGGTTGTCAGACTCTTGTACGTATGAATGACGATGGCGATTGCTTCCTGATTTTGCCTATGAATCAGATAAAATATGACCATTCACTTTGTCACTGTGAGGGGATTGGGTGTGGTAATCATTACCTGATTAGTATCCGGAATTAACGGCGAAAAGGTCATCATCACAGTAAAGGGATGACGTCTTCGAAATGGAAGCCATTACACTTCTATGAGAACCCGACTGTATATCACAACATTATTCTTAAACAGAAGCAACAAACCAAAATGGCTCCCACAGGTCTCGCAATCATCATTGGAGCCGGTCCAACCAGCGGACGAGGCATCGCTCGTGTTCTCGCTCGGGCAGATGGCGGCAATCTCGCCGTAGCTCTTCTAGCTCGCAACGTCGATAATCTCAATAATCTTCGCGATGGCCTTCGCAAAGAGACAAATGGCCTTCTTCACGCCTTTCCCACAGACACCCAGCCCGAGAATCTGCAGAAGGCATTCCAGGATATCCGCAACCACGACGACTTCAAGGAGCTCAAACTCAAACTGGCCATCTACCATGTCAAACACGCCAGCAAGAAGCCTTTCCTTGAGGAGACAGCTGAGGCTTTCACCGATAGCATGCAGACATACACCACCGGCGCAGTTGTCTTTGCGCAGGAAGCTCTGAAGCTTATCTACGAACAGAATGGTGGACAGACGCTCTTGTCTGACACCAATGGTGCGAAGAAGGGGACTATTATCTTTACCGGTACTCTGGGAGCTATGAGGACAAACACTGGTTATGCTGCGTATGGAGCGACTCGTGCATCGGCCCGGATGGTCGCTCAGGCTATTGCCAAAGAACATAGCAAGTACGGCGTGCAGTGTGTCCATGCGATAGCTAATGGGAGAATTACCGATGAGGACACTGAGGAAACGAGAACAGGAAAGCAGATGAGGGCTGAAGATGTTGGACAGACGTATTTGTGGTTGTCACAGCAGCCTAGTTCGCTTTGGATTCATGAGTTGGACTTGAGACCTGCGCAAGAGTCCTTCTAGAACAAGGGATACTAGACAAAACACCAACTTTCTTGTGATAGATAGTTCTTCTCATTTCAAAAATGTGCCTTGTAACTTTTAATACATCTCAAGTCCACCGCTAGCGGACAAGGCCTGCCCTGTGATCCAACGACTCTCCTCCGAAGCCAACCAAGCAACAATCTGCGCAACATCATCCACTTCACCAAGCCTATTACCAGCAGTAGTCTGTTTCTTCTGCATCTCCACGATCTCCTTTGGAATATTGTCTAATAACTCACTCTGTACAGGTCCTGGATTTACTGCATTGACCGTATGACCCTCCGCCCCCAACTCAGCAGCCCACGAGCGTGTCAGTCCTTCTAAGGCAGCCTTGGAAGCGCAGTATAGAGACAAATGCTTGAAGCCGCATCGTGCACCCACAGATGAGATGTTGATGATCCGGCCGCCGCCTGAGGAAGGAAGGTATGGCTTCACAGCTTGAAGGAGCAAGAGTGGCGCGCGAACGTTAAGGTAGAAGATAGAATCAAAGTCGGAAGGTGTGATATCCGTGTGAGGTTTGACAATTTCCATTCCTGCGTTGTTCACCAGGATATCAATCTGGGGACCAAACGCAGCGACAGCTTCCCGCACAATCTTTGCTGGGGACGCTTCTTCTTTCAGATCAGATTTAACGCCAATGCATTGTGATGGTGGATCCAGGGAAGCAAGCTTTTCGGATAGTTCTTTGACAAGTATTTCACTGGTTGGTGATGTGTATGTTGCAACGATCTGTTAACGGTCAGTAATGGACTGTTGAGGGCTCGTGGGTACTCACTCTTGCTCCTCTTCTTGCAAGTTCGTATGCGAAACCGGCGCCGAGACCGCGAGATGCGCCTGTTACGATGGCAACTTTGCCCTTGAGTGTCTGGAAGTTCCGTTGAGACTCCATGGTTGTGGATGATATATCTTGGTGGTGCAATTACAAAGGTAGTATAGCGACGGGTTCACTGACAAGCCTGCCCTTTATATACCGGAGACGGAGTACTTGCATAAATTACTTATTCAAAATTCTATCATGTCCGATAGCAACGGCGATGTGACGGATGTGGGTTTCGGAGATAACCTGTTAGCCGCTTGTTATCATCTGCGATTGGTTAATTCCTCTGGCCACATTTTCGGCGATAACGAAGGAAGCACTTCCTTCCTTGCTTTACCATCCCATCTTGGCTGCAGGTCTTGGCGAAAAGAAAGAATAGGAACTGCACCGATATTATTGCTCGTATATTTATGCTTGTGCTCTTCTTAGAAGCTCTTTGCTTAAAGGTAATAGCTCGTATAATGCTAAACAATTTCCATCTCAACAACCTAGTATAGACCAGATACTACATTTATATGCTGCTCTATTGTGTAACCACAATCGATCAAAGCTTAGACAGAGGCAGTATCTGAAGATCATGCCGACTCAGATCCTGAATATTCTTCTTGCCAACGTTAGCCAGCATGTTATCCATATCCGCCAACAAGCACTTCAACACATGCTCAACACCCTGCTGTCCACCCGCGGCAAGGCCATACGCATAAGGTCTACCGATTGAAACAGCCTTGGCTCCAAGGGCCAGAGCTTTGAGAATATCTGAACCATTCCTCACGCCACTGTCGAAGATGATTGTCAAGTTTGAGTCCTTGACCTTCTCATCTGCCGCAATCTCGGCTAGGGCATCAAGTGATGCTACTGCGCCGTCGAGCTGACGGCCTCCGTGGTTGGATACGATGATGCCGTCCATGTCGTGATCAATTGCCAAACGTGCATCTTCAACGGTCTGAATTCCTTTCAAAACTATTGGTCCGTCCCAAAGTTCTTTGAGAATCTTGAGATGGGCCCATTCGCGGTATGTGCCCGAGTTGATCACATCAATCCAGGCCTTCGACTTGACCATGGTCTTCGCGTTGGCAAGAACCCTTGCAGCACCAAAGACAGTGCCAGGCCTTCTCATAATCGACCACAGTTCAGCCATCTTCTCACCCAGACTTCGGGTATCGTTCTTTTGCATCTCGTCAAACATCTTGTTGAAGACAGGATCTGAGAAGCCAACTTGACAGCCCTGACCCCAGATAAAAGGCAGATAAGATGTATCGAGATCAGTCGGTCTCCAACCAAGACTGAAGGTGTCGAGCGTCACGACTAAAACCTTATAGCCTGACGCTTTCGCCCGAGCGAGAAGACTAGCTGTGACATCCTCATATTGAGGCTTTGGCCAATAAAGCTGAAACCACCGATCGCCATCCTGATTAGCGTTGGCAACCTCTTCGATTGACCTTGTCGCAGCTGTCGACAAGACCATGGGCACACCAACGCGGTGGCAAGCCCTGGCAGTCGCCTCCTCGGCATCCGAATGCAAAATGCTCTGCACACCAATTGGTGAAACCAGAATGGGACTCTTATACTTTGTACCAAACAATTCGACGCCTACATCGCGTCTCGTGACATCAACAAGAAACCGCGGTTTGAGACGGTATCGATTGAAGGCTTCATCGTTGGCTTTCGCCGTGGAAGCGCTGCTGGCGGAGCCGTAGACGTAGCCAAAGTTGGCAGCGGGGATGTTCTCTTTGGCGAGGGATTCCCATTCTGTGGGGTTCGTTGAGAACAGAGGTGGATGGAAGGATTGGTAAATGTGGCGTTGGAAGTTGGAGAAGCTTGTCGGGTCTGGAATGGAAATGCCTGGGCTCAATCGCTGGGGATTGACTTCATTGTGGGACATCTTGCGATCTAATTGTTGTTGTTATTGGTATTGTTGTAACGTAGTGTTACTTGGGTACAGCGTGGAGATTAGCCCCACGTACCTTTCTAGTCTACTTAAGGCCCTGATCGGCGAGAATAGAATTATATAACGCGGGTTGTAAAACAAAGTACAGCTTACCTAACTATTTCCTACCTCCCCCTACCCCGCCCCCCCTTTATTATCTAAGTACCGTATAGTAAGTAAACTTGATCAGATGCTCTATTTCTTGACCATAAGCATTCTTCAGCACTGAAAAACACCCAATATCGAGAGGCTGGAGTAGGTGGGATGCATAAGTAGGCATGCAAAGTGTAATAATCTTGTGATCCTGATAATATCTCTTAAAGTTAACTAAGTAGTAACTTTTGTAACTATTAAGGACCAGAAGGCGATAGAGACTAGGTAAGCGATCTCTTTACTATTAATTAATGACGTGCTTTAACTACTTAAGACCCAGCTAGTTATTTATCTATCTATTTTAGCTTATTGCAATAATATTACAATCTAACAAGTAGATTAGTTACCCTGTATATAGCTTTACATTTTTTACTAATTATATTATTAGGATATTTAATAATAGTTAGTATTAAGCCTTAATAATTAGCACTAATCTAATATAATTAGTACTAATTTACTAGAATTAATACCAATCCTAAGATAACCTTACTAATTACCTATAAATTACCTAAGTATATATATATTTACTTAGTATTAGTTAATATATTTAGCTTAATAGCTATTAATAATACTTCTTTACTTAAATACCTTCTATTTACTATTAAGAGATATAATATTAATATATTACTTAGTACTATACCTTATAACTTTATTAAATATAAACTTAAAATAAACTAGTTTACTTATTTAAAAACCTAACTATTATATATTAATAGCTTTTATTTAAACTATACTATATTAATAACTAAGTAATATTATACTATTAAGATAATTAGTAATAATACTAATAATAGATTAGTACCTTTTTATACTAAAGTACTACTTAGTATAGTAAAACTAATAGCTAAAATATAATAACTTAAAAGTACTATATATACCTTATAGAGTTAGATTAATAAATAACCTATAATACCTATACCTATAAAAGAAACTACCTTAAATTACTATAACCTTAGTAAAATTACTAAGCTATTTCTACTAATACCTTTCTATAGAGTTTATAGATATAGTACTATTCTTACTTTAAATAAAGGGGTACTTTAAGTTATTTTTAAATAAGTTAAATACCTCCTAGAAGAAAATATTAACTACTATACCCTTTATCTAAGGAAATATAAAGGATTAGTTTAAACTTATTTAAAGAAACTATTTAAAAAATAAAGAAGATATCTAAGATTAGAAAATATAGAATATATCCTTAAACTAGCTAAACTTTAAAGTACTACTAAAAGATAATTTTAAAATTATTAATAAAGAGTAATAAGCTATAGCTAAAATTCTTATACTTAAGTAAACTAAGTCTTATATAGTATACTTTACTAAGTTTTAATAACTTATAGCTAAAACTTAATAAGATAATAAAGTACTTATAGAATTATACTACTAAGGCCTTAAGAAAAAAGTAAAAAATAAACTCTTTAAAGTAAATAAATTAAAAGATCTTATAAAGTATATTATAATAGCTATTAAGATTAATAAAAGATAGTATAAATACTAATAAGAAAAGTAAAATACTATATAAAAAAGTAGTAATTTTAACCCTTACTATTTTAACTAGTATTATAGTAATAATAGAAATAGTAATAACTAAAATAACTCTTAGTATTTATAATAACTATAAGAGTAGTAAAATAATACCTTATATAGAATATATCTAAGACTAATAGCTTTAGGAGTAGTATAGTAATTTTTATAATAAGTATAAGATATATCTAAATATAAATATTATAATTATAACTAATTTAGATATATAGTATAATAATACCTATAACTATAGAAACTATAAGATTTAAACTATAGTAAGCTATAAACTTTTAAAGTTACTAACTACCTTAGCTTTTAAATAGTATAATATAGATAAATACTAGGTATATATTAAATAAGCTATAATATAGCTAATAGTACTATAGTTAAGGTTACTAACCTACTAATAAGATAGGTACTTTACCTAGAAAGTTTAGTAAAATATTTATAAAACCTATTTAGGAATTATTAAGAAGTTATAAATATATACTACTTTAATAAAAAGAAACCTAATTTAAAGTATAATACTTTAAAGAACCTAGAGTATTTAGTAAAATAAACAAGAAAGAAAAAGTAATATAATAACTATATAAGAAAATAAAAAAAGTATAACCTTAAATTTAAGAAATAATATAGGTAAACTAAAAGGAAAAGCTAATAGAAATAGCTTAGGGAAACCTAAATACTAAGAATAATATATTTACCCTTAAAGACTAAATTAGTACTTATTTATAATAAATACTATAACTTAGATATAGACTTAAATAATAAGAAAGAAAGAAGAATTATTACCTATAAAGAAGTTCTAATTAAAATAAACTATATAATAACTTAACTACTACTAAAAGCTTCTATTTAACCTTTAAGACTATAAATAAAACTACCTATAGATAGAGCTATAACCCTAGATATATAATAGGTAATAAATAGTATTCTTATATAAACTAAGATAATAGAAAAATAAATAATAGTTAATATAAAAAAAGCTATAGAATATTACTAATAAACTAAGTAATAGTAATATATAAGAAGTATAGGATATTAAGAAGAAATAGCCTATATAATAGTATAATATCTAAAAAAACAAGATAAGGACCTAGAGAATAAATAAAAGAAACCTTACTTATTACTTTATAATAAAGTAAAACTATAAATATTTACTAGCCCTTAAGAAAGGTATATATAGAAAATATAAAAATACTATAATATAAGTAAAATAAATTATATTTATATATAAGCTTACTACTAAATAAATATAATAAACCTTTACTATAAGGAAGATAATTTTAATACTAAGAATAATATATATATACTACTAATAAACCCTCTATATAAGGAAATCTCCTAGGTATTATATAGATATTATTAATATAACCTTTATATAGTAAATAAAGAAAATAATAATTACTTTCCTATAACTATTTTAAGAATACCTAATAATAAACCTTACCTAGCTACTAAAATATTAAGTTACTTAATATATACTTAGTATAAAAACCTTAGAGTAGTAAAACTATAGTTTAACTTTATAGACTATTAATTAAAACTATAATAATAGGAAACCTTTAATAAAGTATAATAAAACCTTTAGATAATTAAAGATACTAAAAGAGAATTTAAAGAACTTATAAAAGGGAAATATAAATACCTTAAAAAGCCTAAAGAAGATAACTAGTTAGAAACTATAAAAAAAGTTAACTATATATAAAAAGAAAATAGACTTTACTTAGTAAGTATCTTTAATAATAAATTAGGAAAAAAATACTACTATTTATAATAAAGCTATAGATAAGTAAAGTATAAAACTAAGAATAACTTAAAGTAAAAAGTACTTTAAGAGCTATATAAAATAGTAAGCTTAATTACCTAGTACTATAGGTTTAAATTAAAGAGAAATAGCTAAATATATAGATTAACTATAAAGTAAAATAGAACTTTATTAACCTAAGACTAATTATAAAGTTAGTATTACTATAAAAAAAGCAATAATTACCTTATTTAATTATTAATATAAAAGGATAACTTTTTAACTATAATAATAGAATTATAAACTAAGAGATTAATTACCTTTATATCTATATTTAAGGAAGAATCTAAAAAGAAAATTTTAATATTATTCTACTAAAAATAGAAATTAATATTATCTTAGGTATACTATAACTTAGATAAATAAATCTATATATAAACTAGCTAATTAGCTAAGTTATACTTTTATATAACTTAAATAGCTATATAAAACTAATTATAATAAATATAAAGAGATTTTAAACCTTAACTAAAGAGAAAGGTATAGGTTAGTATAAAGTAAAGTATTTACTACTTTTAAGAGAAATATAATATAAGTATAAGATAAGTAAGAAATAAAGAATAAAAATCCTTAGTATTTTTAAATAATAAAATACTAGAAAAGATAAATAACTAAAAATAAGCTAAGATTAACTTAAGGAAATACTAAAGGAATACTAATATTATAATAAACTATTTTAAAAAAAAGTTAAAATAGGAATTCCTAAATATAGCTAATAAAACTATAAAATTAATCTTATAAATAAAAATCTACTAATATAGAAACTTTATTTACTAAACTAAAAGAAACTATAAGTATAAAAAGAATA